ATAATAATATTCTGTTGTATAATAATAATATATTCAATATATAGTATTAAATGTAATATATTCAATATAGTAGTATTAAAAAATACTGAAATCAATTTATAGACTATAATAATATATTCAATATACTATCTGTTGTATAATAACATTATTATCTGTTGTATAATAACATTATATTATTATACAGTAAAAGTAGTATTGAATAAGTTTATCTTTGATAATCTCACAGATGTATATATTTCATATACTAGTTGAAAATTGAAGTTCCTTTATCGTACATTCACGTACGTGAGTTTTATGTTTATCGCAGATACTGTTGCATTCAGCTGGCCATATCCGTTTTTCTTTTCAAGTTGATTAACTTACAATCATCTCTTGAAGCAATATCTATAAGATTAAAAATTCACTACTCAAATGCTGGTACTGTTTACAAACGATAGTAGCATGCTGTAGTGATGGCTAGTATGATACTCCTTAGTGCTCTGAAGGAAGTTTATATCAGTAACGTAGCTTCCTGTGCGCAGGAGCAAAAAAAAAAAAAAAAGATATGATAACGCTCGACGATAACTAGATGTGAAAAATGAGAAATAGAACGAAAGTAGAGCGGTTTAAAATTGAAATACTACGTAATGATATTATGACTTCGAATTGATATTCTGCGATCGGATATTCTGGTTCCAATTGTAAATAAAATCGAAAGCAGAAAATAGGTTCAGAAAAATATTTTGATGTTACTTACCTCAAATAATTTGTTCTATCTTTCGGAACTGGAATATACTTATTTCGAAATTTTTAATATTTTCAAGAACCTATAATTAAATAAATGACATGGAGAGGACACGATCGATTTAAAAAATACTGAAATCAATTTATAGACTATATTAATTAGATTCACATCGTATATATGACGCAGATACAAAATGTCGTATGAATTTGATACTAATCAATGCGCTAACCAATCGCTATATTAATTACTACATTATCGTAAATCAGTATACAAACTATGCCAATTAATATGTGCTAATTTTGTGTTAATACTGTCTGTTTTAATGTTAAGAAAATATTATTATTACTAGAGAAAATATCTATACAAAATTGTTAGAGAAAGACAAAACAGCTATTTAGTAGAGGGAATATTATATATAATTTAAAAGTTCTCTCTCGTCAAAATATTTACAAAATATTTTCGAAATATTAATGGCACTGGAATCGATTATAATAAAATACAAGATCTCACAATTTCGCTCTTCAGAGACAAATATATTTGCAACCGATCAAAAATGTATGCGCATGAAAATATAAGTATAGCTGCTCGTGATCAATCATGTCAAAATTCGTCTCAGTTCCTCGGCTTTTAA